TTGCTTTGTGCTTGAGAGATCTTTTGTTCTTCTTCTCTACCTAGCCTTAGTGGCTCTTCTTGTGGCGGTAATCTTTTTCATCCAGTCCTTTGTGGGCTGAAAACTGGAGCAACCGAGTTCGGTTTGGGAAGGTGCCGGTTTGGGATCGATTTGGTTGATTGTGGTGGTCGTTTGATTGATTAACTGAGCCCGGTTTGGTGAAATCAAAGGTCAATAATATAACACATATGATGATGTTTAGGTGGGTCGAAAGGGGACATAATCCGAAAGAGAAAGTGTTTGATATATGTTTTGTGCATACAATTTTTTCATAATATTTGGTTGACAATGGTCCCTTGCACAAACATTTCACACGCATTGCCTTAAAGAATTAAAATGAGCCTACAATTTATGTGAGAGAAAATTATTCTAAACCCTACTTTTCAAGTTTCAATTTCACAAATCGGATGCTAATTATTATTTTCTTTAAAACAAAAACCTATATACCACCCACACCACACCAAATTCCACTCCGACGAACCTCCATATAGGGGTCAAACCCTCCATGGACGAGGTAGGGTGATGCGAACCACTGCAACACCAATTCAAAACGAATAGGCTTAGACATATAGAGGCACATCCCCTAGAAGATCCTCGATATAAAGATTTTCTATGAATAATTGATGTGACATCTCTGCAATAGTCATCCTGTCAAATCAACTTGTATATCTACTCTTATATGTCAGGCCTAGGTAGATGGCTACTTTTCAAAGTCATTTAAAAACTTTGAGCCTAGGATTGATAGAATGACGCTTATAAAAAGGCGCCTCGACCATCAAGATGAAGTTACGTGTGTTTTCATCCAATGGTTAGCATTCCACCTCTTCTATTATAAAAACTCACACTTTCTGTCATTTGAAGGTATAAATACAATAATATTGTCCCATTTTCACTCTCTATAAACTTTCGGTGCCCTACGCTATTGTGGCTCAATCCTACACACGTCCCACACTCACATATATCAATACAAGTTGATTGAATTGATCTTCGAAGTGCTCCTTACTGCCTCCTACTTTTAATGATTTTCCCAAGTGTATAAAAGCCATACAAGCAACATGAATAGATCGAATCCATTGGCCACGTTACTCGTGCAAAAATCAAGGTCAACAAAAATCATATCCACTTGGCTTTATATATACATTATACTTGGATATCCTTATATTAGATCGATGAGATATCCAAATTCACTTCCAAGACAACAAATTCTTACCCCAAATTCATATCTCTATCAAACTCAAGCCTCCGATGTCGACAAAGTAAAAAATTCACCCTTTAAATGGCTTAGTAAGGCTAAATTATAGGTTAGGAGGGAGAAATGGTTGGGTTTTCGGTTTGATGAGAATTTTTCGGTAATGTAAGAACAAGAAGTTGTAGGTCATGGTGATTTATGAAGCAAAGAGGCAAGAAATGGGAGAAATTGAAGAAATAGAAATATAGAAGTTGGAGAGGAGTCAATGATTGTGGTTGAAGTGTCGTAGAAAGGATGGGTCCGAGCAAGCAGTGGCACGATGGTCCCATAGTTGTAGATATATCTAGAGGTGTTGTCGCAAAAGGGGTGGGATATGGTGTGATAAGACTATGATTGGGGTGGGTTAGACTATCTAATTCATATGCGATTTGTGATTAATAAAATAATTTATACCTTATTAATTGTGTAATTTGTCTCAATATATGATTGTAATCCATAAATTGTGTGGCATGTGAGAGTGATTTTGTTGATTTGTGACTTAGTATATATGTAATTATAATCAATAATTGTGTGGTATGTGACTATGACCTATTTTTTTCTTTTTTAAAAAAATCAATAAAAAAAGTAATAAAAAAAATTAAAAACATCTCTCATAGAGTTTTTTGCTAAGCTTATAAAGTTTCTTTAAAATTTCTAAATTATAATTTATGAAAGTTAAATAAGTTATTTATTTTAAAAGAGCTCGTTTCATTTTTCAAAAGCTATAGAAAAATTGGGTTTGAATGAATCGTGGTCAACGCTAAAGAGATTGCAACGCTTATAAAAACAAAAGTTATTTAGGGGCTTATAATAATTTGTCGTTTATGGGCTCAAAATTCTTAAGACCAATCTAGTGTTCTATTATTAAGTTCAATAGAAAGCACAAATAGATTTCCCTTCTAGCTCCAGTTGTCAGGCGCCCATTTATCCATTTATTCTAGAATCTTGTTTGTTAATTGCCAACTGTTATTCGAGCCTATTTTTCCCCCCTTTTTTTGATTTGTTATTTATATCTTGTAAACACTTCATTTTCATTCAATAAAATCAAAGATTTCATTCTCCTATATTCTCTCTATTTTACAATATGGTATCAGAGCACATTCTTCATTTTGTTCATTGAGCACTGATTATCCATGGCGGATTTTTCTGTTCTGAATCAACCTATTCGGAATTCGTCTTCATCAATGAGTCAATCAGCCGTTGATGATGTCTTAAGTACTTATTATCTCCATCACTCAGACAATCCAGGTCTAGTTGTGGTTTTTCAACCTTTGACTGGTGAAAACTACTCTTCATGGAGTCGAGCTATGACTATAGCACTCTCGGTGAAAAATAAACTGGTTTTATTAATGGATTTGTGATAAACCTGAAGAAAATGCAGATCTTCTCAACTCTTGAGTTAGAAATAACAACATTGTTATTTCCTGCATCCTTAATTATGTTTCGAAGGAAATCTCAGCGAGCATCATCAATTCAGAATCAATTCATAAATTTTTTTATTCTCATATTCACCTTCTTTTCAATATCTTCTCCAACTTTGAACCTTAACATTACAATCAAGTTGTGCAACACATCCAATGGAGGGATGCTATGGCTGCTGAATTGAATGCCATGGAATAGAACAAAACTTGGTCTGTCATCAGTCTGCCTAGAGGAAAGCATTCCATATGATGCAAATGAGTGTACAAAATTAAGTATAAATCTGATGGTAATATTCATCGGTACAAAGCTCGATTAGTGGCAAAGGTGTATACCAAAAAGAAGGGCCTTCATTTTTTGGAAACCTATTCTCCAGTTGCCAAGTTAGTTACTACGAAGCTCTTATTGGCAGTTGCAGCTATCAATCAGTGGCTCATTGTCCAATTAGATGTTAATAATGCCTTTGTTCATGGCAATCTATTTGAAGAAATTTACATGGACCTACTATTAGGCTATATGGCTTCCATTTTTTCTCACCAACAGGGGGAGCATTTAGTTTGCAAGTTACATAAGTCGATTTATGGGTGGACGTAGGCCTCAAGACAATGGTTCTCGAAATTTTCACATGCTCTCTTGCTTCATGATTTTAGCCAATCAAAATCAGATTACTCTTTGTTTACAAAGGGCTCTGGGGCAAATTTTGTTGCATTGCTTGTAGTCATGTCAATCGAGCCGAGCGGCTCATCTGCTTGATCGCTCGGCTCGTACTGTTCACGAGCTGCTCGCCAAGCAGCTCGTGAAGGAGCCCAAGAGCCTAGCTCGTTGGCTCGTTAAATAAAAAAATTAAAAATCTGTGTGACCAGAACGGTCACTGATCACTGAATTTTCAGTGACCATTTGGTCACTTATATAAAAAAAATTTCTAATTTTCTTCTCCTATAAATACTCATCCATTACTGCATTTTTTCGCACCGAACTTTCATTCTTTACTCTACTCTCTACTCTCTACATTTTAAAAATCATTATCAATAATATCATTCATTTATATTATAATATTCTTCAACATTTTTTTACATTATTATCTATATTTTACAACTTATTTTATACACTAGTATATATTCTTCATTCA